ACTTTGACTTTTGACATCAACAATCTGACTTCAATATTTCTCCACAAAAAGAGACTCCTGACTCGGTGCTGTTTCCCTGTGATGGATAGCTTTTCAGCTGCTGACAGCACGGAACATAATAAATGTTTTCATTAGCATTGGGGGCTGCATATCCCCACGTCTTAAGTTTTCCAGCTAGTGGCTTTGAAATGCCACCCAGAAACACCTGCAGCACTGCCTTGTCTCTGCAGAACTGCAAAGCCACTGTGAAAAAATATTATTATAAAGTTGTCTGTATATCAGCATTTCTGTGCTAAACAACCTTTTAATTGCCTACCCTCTAATTTTTCTCTGCCTGGAAACACTTGCAGCCACATATTTTAATTTAAGCTGCTCTGTTTGACTCCTCTGATCATCTGGGTTTTCATTGTCATTGCTTCACAATAATTTAATGTCATATATAATGGCATCAAATTGAGGAAAGCCCTAAAAGCTGCCAATCCAAAGTGATCTCAGAATGTTCCCGCGTACAAGCCTAGATAAGCTTGATTTGTTTGTGCCAACATTATTCATCACATTCTGTGTCTAACTGGGCCAGTGTTCTCTTGCTCTTGCATTTTCAAATCCTCTTTCAACATACACTGAAGCTTCTTAATCAGTGTGTTTTCTATACTTTAGTTAACAAAATGGTTGAAAGTATGCGTTTGCGACAAAAAGGAGAGGGTATTATGATGATGCTTACTTACCACACTACTATCTAAACATTTTACCATATTGTTTTTTTAATTGGTTCTTGTTTTAAAATTTTCATTTTGTTTGCCACTAGAAGAGGAGAGTTGGACCACATACGCAATTCAACATTTGCTTTAGATTTTCATTTAATAATATTATGGAGAGCTAACTACCATTAATGAAAACTTATTTGTGAGTCTACTCCAGAGCTGATCATATATGTCTTCTTGGGAGGAGAAGAGTTTTATTTTATAGCTAATTAAAAGTTTCTAAAGATGCCATGGATTTTTTTTTGTGCAAATTAAAATTAATTAGAGTTATTAAGGAGCCATGAAAAGAAGGATTTGAGAAATAGTGAGAAATATTATTTAAACCCTAATGGAATTCAGTGAAACCCACAGGTCTATTACAGGCCCCTGATTTGCCAGGATCACTGCAGGGAATCTAACATTAATAAGCACACTGGTAATTAAATCATTTGTTACTTTGTCTGTAATGTTGTAATGTTTCACTGATACTCTGTCAGAGCTCTTTGTGCAGATCAGAGCTAATCAAAGGTAATCAATTTTCAGCATTTGAGAAATCTGTAAATGATTATACATTCATCAGATCATTTAGTGGAGTGCAAGGAAAGTGCAATGCAATTAATCTTCCTGCATGAGGAGGAATTACCACCACAGAATTCAACAGTTATAATTAATTTCATTGTCTTGCTGTGAATTTTGATTGCTTTTCTTTGGACTGTATAGTACAAATGATGATTCATTGCAAAGTATTTGCAAAGCAAACACACCAGTGTGCTATGCAAATTAAAGTAGCTGTATAACAGATAGGTTTCAAACTTCCTATTTACTCAGGGTTGTTGAGTACTAATTTGCCAAATAATAATTGCTTGTTAACTTTATACACTCTTCCCTTGAATATCAAGATTGGTAACCAACATAAATAGAAAGCACGTGCTATTTTGTATCTTATGGTATGTATGCAAAATACTAGTTAGCACTTAAACTTGTTCACTTTACCAAATAACTTAAGCATTAAAAATGATTATTTACCTCTGAAATAATTTGCTACTTATTTTACTTACACAAAATAGGTAGTAGCAATAGATTATGCATAGAAATTTTCTTGTGTGTTGCTTTTTCCATTATTGTGACTATAAACGTTTAAGAGACTTTCACTGGAAACATGATGCATAGAATCTATTTATATCTCAACTGTTGCTTGTTTAAAAGATACGTAATTTTTGGTACATAGTAGGGTGTTGCCAGAATACATTCTCCATAATTTACAGATTTCCTATAAAATTTCTTTTCAGTTTCCCAATCCTCTGCCCATTTAAAGATGTGCCTGTGGAAACAAAAATCGATTCAAAACGACTGAAAGGGTTCATGTCACATTTTGTGCTAAAATGAAAAGAATTTAAAAATGAAATTAAGGTTAATAGCAAACAATGAAAGAATGTGCATAACTTTCACATTAATTGTTTGCCAGATGACTACAATTCCAAGGTACTTAAAATGTGGAGAATACTTTTTCTTTCCTTTAAATTACTTTGTGAAATCCAAGACTCCAATGTTTTCTCCAAAATTAAACTCTGTAAGCCTTAAAATCAGCTCAAATTTCTAAATGTCTAAAATTCACATAGATCCACAAACATGAAACCCTATTTTATATTATTTCTAAATCAAGAAGTTGAGATAGGTGCATGATTCCCAATCAAAAACCAATATAAAATGTCACTTTCCCCTCAAACACATTCTGTGTGTGATGTCACTGAGGCCTTTGGTTCAATGCATGTTGAGGAACAAAGTCACTTTAATTTTTTTAACCAATGAATTAGTTTAAATTAGTTTAAACCATTGCTTGCTAAAACCACAAGGGTTAATATAAGGCTTTGCTATTCTGAAAAATAAAAACAAACCAAAAAAGCTCGAATGGGTTAACTGACTAAATTAACACATTCCAAATAATGTGCGATTAAAATGTCAAGGTATTGTCACTTAGAATTCATGGTAAGATAAATAATACTAAGAAATAGAGCAAAATAATGCAAACGTAATAGTAAATCAATGCTATTTTTTTCTGGAGAGAATTAAATTATTAAATTGTCTGGAAATCCAAAGAGATAGTCAAAGGGCAAATGAGGCCCCAACCACTATTTTGCTGTCAAAATCAATAAAACAACTGGGAAAATTCTTTGATAGCATCAAATCTTGCATATACTTTAAAACATTTACCTAATGTGGAGATGCAATAATTCTGAGATTCCAATAAAAGACAAATAGTATACAGGTCAAAAATTCCTTGTTTCTTACGTTTAAGTGTACCTATATTATCTATTTTTTCATGGGAAATGTTTCTTTTCAATTTGTTCAGTTGTCCCATCTTTGCTAGTCTCTTCTCTTTAATGATTTCCCATTATTGCTGGGATCATGGCATTCCTATTTGACAGTTCTCTGTAGTTTTCGTGTTTGATGCACCATGCTGATCTCAGGTATTGCAGTTGGTTCAAGCAGTATTATGTGCTAAATATAGTTCAACTAATTTAACATTATCTGAACTGCCAAACTTAGAAAATTCACTTAAGAAAAAATAATCCTCTCATTTGATGCCTTCCATCATAATTCCTTAAGATTAAATTTGCAAATATTAACCCATTTGATCATGTTGACTAAATTCACTGATCAAATCATCTGGAAAAAGTCTCTTTGAGTTAGTAGAAGAAATAGAGACATAAACACAGTATACAAAGAAGAGGGAATAAAAGTTAACACATAATGCAGCATGTTTTGTGTGAGGATCATGGGCTTTGGAGTGAAAAAGACTTAGTTCAAATCCTAGGTCAACTTCTTTAAAGTGGTCTGAGCTTGGGAAACTTTTCTTATGTAAACTTTCTAAGTCTCATCTATCAGATGAGAATAAAAATCCATGTTGCGGGAAGTTGTTTTATTGCAAATGTACATTAACATGGTTGGCACATAGTAGGCACTTGCAAGAATGAAAGTTGCTCTTCTGACTCATGCAGTGAAAAAAAGAAAATGTGTGAGGTGATGATGGACATGGTAGAAGTAAGGGCCCTAACTTCTGGGTTTTATCTGTGAATGTAAATACACATAGTTTTCTCATCATATTGGCCTCTTAGTTACAAACATCGGTGGAACAAAAATATAGAAAGTTACTAATTGAGGAATTTAAAACACATGATTTGGGGTGGGGATAGAAATGTTATAGGTTTCTCCTTTCACTGTTTCCAAAAAGGTTTTCTTTCTTTTTTTTCCATTTATACCTTTGAACTACCTCAAACTTCTACTTCAGAATGTTCACCAACTTGGGTCTCTTGCATAGCTATTTTTTAAAAAGTTTCTATAGGTCTCCTTCATTTGCATCAAGACAGGCATGTTAGAAATGGTAGAATTATTTCAATAATTTCTACTAGCTGTTTCAGCATTATTTTTTATTAATAAAAACTAAAAATATCATTTTTGAGATTTACCATTAATTTAACTAAGCAATGATTTTCTAGATAGGATTGTAAAATCTAAGACTTTCAGAGAACTTTGGCTTATCAGAAGTCAATTTGAAAAATTCATCCAAGGGTCAATATCAAGTAGTCAAAATGGAAGCTCAATATTTTTTAAAGTAAAAATATTTCTGGAAAGATAGATTTTTTTTGAAAGATAGATTTTTATGGTATAGTATCTCCATAATTCTTGGTTTGCTGTCTTCTAAATCTCTTGCCAAATTTTCTAGTTTGAATATAAATAAAAACCCTTTAGAAGTGAAAAATAAAATCAGGAATAGTTTTATAAGACTGGAAAAATCTAAGTTTTGTTTTGTTTTAAGAAATTATAAATCCCCCCAAAAATATCCCTTATCTGTCATTTAAAAATTTGATGAGACTTGACGTTTCCCCCAGTGCAAATTTCAAGGAAACTGTCTATAACTCAGTAATTATCTTTATTAACAAAATATATTTGATGAATATTTGTTTCCACTGGTAATTTCCCTCTACTAAGTAACAATTGTTTTTCATTTTTCCTATTTTTTTTTAATTCAGAAAGTCTAATTTCATTTTGTTGGATATCCAAGTGACTTTGAGGAATCTCCAACTATAATAGCTAATAAAATGCAATTGAGGAATGGGCCATGTATGTTTTTGATAGATTTTGCAAGTGTTCTGTTAATTTAAAGCACCAGTCTGAAAATTTTTTTTATATAAGATGGAGAACAATATAAATAATCTATCTGACTTAAAAGTATATGAAAAAAGAAAACAGAAAACTTGATAGGTTCTTACAATATCATAATTTATGTGAAACATGAAAAAAACATGCATACATAACACCTTTCCTGTCTGGCTTCATCTGTATTTCTTTGTTGTCAAAACAGGTTTCCATATTTAACTTCTTTTTTTGATTATGCCTTTTCCTTTATTTCATGGAATGATATGTTATTATCTCTGAAGTGTAGATTTCTGCCAAGTTCTATGCACTTCAGTGTTAAGAGTATGGCCCACAACTCTGGGAATCTTTGTTGAAGCTGTAGAAATAAAATGAATAGTATAAAAGCTTGATGGCATCTGTGGATAGGAAACTCATTAAAGGCCCCAGCCCTCTGTTTTATTTCCAACCACATTTTCCCTGTGGGATTTCAATGTCTTGCAGGATGAAACCAGCAGGACTCATTACTTACAAAACAATGTTTAGAGTCCTTTCGTAGTGCTGGAATGCTTCTGCCAGTCAGGTAAAGAACCTAGGCCTTTATCCTTTTGGGGACAATGCCGGCCAGCTCACAAACTGCTTGGAAAAGTCACGCCTTTGAATGTAACTGCAGGTGTTGCTCCCCAAAGGCTGTTGGTTGGTACCCTCCTATGCAATGTACAATGGGATAATAGAAAATTCACTTTGGAATTCAAACAAAGTCTTAGAGAAATGGAAATAATAGGAACACAATTTTGAGACTTCCTTCGTTTTTCCCACGAACTATGGACCATGACTAATACCCTCAGGGCAAAAAACATCCCTTTGCCTTTAAGGGATGTATACAATTCAGTGTTTCAGATAAATAAGTTTCATGACCTCACCAATTCTGTGGCTTCCATTCATTTACTAGAAAATAAACTTAAGCAAGAGAATAAGGCCATGTTATGGACTGAACTTTAAGACAGTCAGTGTAATAAAAGATTAGCGCAAATGGGTAGAAAGTATAACAAGTTGTTTTATTTATTTTATTTTATTTTATTTTATTTTATTTTATTATTTTATTTTATTTATTTTTCCTAAAAGAAATCATTGCTTTAACTGGGTTCCCTAAATCAAATTAGTATAGTTCTGACTGAATTGCCTGTCTCTCTTTGGCAGTGTGGCTAGTGGCATTTTGGAAATATTCTTAGAACTTGTAAAATTCCTGCAAGAATAATAAGGACCTTGCCATTGTGGAATCAAAGAGATTCAATCACTTAAAGTAGTACTATAGGCTTGTCAAGTGGAATTGCTTTTACAGATTTGCTGAATAACTCATCCATAATGGCTGAAAATTTCAGCCATTTTGTTAAAACACCCAAGGCAGAGGAGATTAGTGCGCACTGTAGAAAAGCATATGTATAATCACGAAGAAGTTTAGACCACGTCTGCACCATGAAGTACCATTTAAACATCCCAAGTTCCAGTCATTACATTATGGAAAACAATGTGAGCTATCTGAAAAATGAAGTGTGGCTTGCTCTTCGCTGGCTGATGAGACTTCGATAGCATTTAAGCTTGGTAAAATGTATTTCTAAACAAAGTTGCTATCTTTACAGATGACAAGGTCATGTAGAATTTGACTGGAGGGAATTTAAAAAACAGTTAAATGTGGCAACGATAGAGAAGAAGTTAAACAGTGAGAAAGTGCTAACCTAGTTGTTGAAGAATTAATATCAATTAGAGTCCTATTAATAATAATAGGATCAGCTGACAACAAACATCTGGGTTGCTAAAATGAGAAACCATTAAGCTCTTCCCTTTTAAACACATTTTGACAATGGAGACATGTATGTTATTTTTCAATGGGTAAGTTTCAACTTGAAGGCTTCCAGCATTTATTTCCACAATTTTATCTTAATTTTGAAAAAGAAATCAGGAAATAAATTGCTGTCTTAAAGACTGTCCCTCGAGCCTCTGGTGCTTTGCAAGAAGCTATTGTAAAAGTGGGTTCTGGAGGGGAAAAGTGTATTTTTAAATGTCAAAATCACCGTATTTTCTAGGTGGGAAATGTCATGAATACTAGATTTTGTGCAAAAGCTCAAGTAGGCTTAAAGGAGAATAAATATTTTCCCTCCTCCTACATTTTGTATTTTGAATTTTGGGCGCTATATTTAGTTTGAATTGTATATGGTGTTCAATAGAATAAAAACATGTATATAAAACTTATCTTCAGCTTAAATTTAAATTCATCTGCTTGCTACCTTATTTAAACAATAAAAAGGGAAAATATTCCCCAGGAAAGATGTTTAAATACCAGTATGTAAACAATGATGTCACCTTGTAATTTGAATGAAATATTAATGGAAAGAAGAGCAGAGGAATATCAGAATATATTATGAATAGAGTAAATGCAACAGAAGGGTATTTTCTATCAAAGGAAAGGTGGTAAGACATTTAACAGATACAATTCATAGTCTCAGTACAATTAATGCATTTGGGATAGAATATATAGAAGTCATTTAGCTTCTTTGTTCCAAGAATCTCAAGAGCCTATACACATGTGGATTGAAAAATTGAGTCAGATGGATGATAATTCAATCAACAATATCTTTTGGTTTTCACTATTTGCATAGCTTTTGTCAGAGGTCATGCAATAGGTCAGCTGCACTATCAAGAATCCAAACTTTAATTCTAGCATTATTTCTCCAACACTCTTAGGTTCTCCATAGCAAAGTTGTCTACAGAAAAAGGATCGGAAAATTTCTCTTACACACAAAGCTATTTGGAAAAAATGATCAACTCATTAACCCATCTAATGAGTCATTCAGTAGTAAAAGTAGCATTTATTTGACATGTTCTAAATATTCCAAATCAGACTGAGCCCTTCTCTACCAACCTTCCCCATTCCAGTTAGCTGTGTCTAGGATTTTAGAGGAGGCCAGTAAATAGTAACTTCTCTTTCTCCTAAATTTAGAATCAATTACAAGCTAGGTCTTTGATTGTACACCTGGAACTAATATAACCCTGTATGTTAATTATAGTTCAATCATAAATAAGTAAGTAGGTAAATAAATAAATAAAAGATAGGCATTCGAAGCAGCTGGATGAAGCCAAAAATGCTAGCTTTAACTGGTAAATGGTGGAAAATAGGGTCTGACTAACAGGTGAACCACACAAAACACCACTCAGCAAATAAACCTCCCACCCCTCTCAGGCAGTGTCACATACCTGCAGGCCTCCCTAGCAGGACTAGAATCTCTTGACTCACAGGAGGGTGGACCTAGACATTCTCTCTGTTGTCAGGCAGACCTGAAGGAGAAAAATGCTGAGCTTTCTCCTGGATGCATCTTCAGAGAAATTGCTCCCCCTTTCCTGAGACTTAGATGTGAAGGCTGCCTGGGTCCTCTTGGACCTTTCTCTTCCTAGGAAATAGAGGGGAAAATTCCCTCTCCTTTAAGGAAAAAGGAGGAGTGGGGAAGAACATGTGTGTTTCTTTTTAACTTGTCTAGATTATTTTCTCATGTAGGCATTTAGGGACTAGAGAGGAGGATTTTATTTATTTATTTATTTTTTACCTCCATATCTGCATGTAGCTTCCTGTACCTCAGCTCGTGGTGCAGCTTCCTATGTGAGGATGTCTCAGCCAGATACCGATAGCTGGAAGAGGTGTAATAATGATGGTAAACCAATGAATTTTGTTTTGAAGGGGCTAGAGGAGATAGGTGCCCATACTTAGGTCTTGATGCATCATAATATGCCTCTCCCTCATGCTCATATTTTTGCAAGCTGTTCCCAGTTTGTTTGTTTGTTTTCCCTCACTGGTGAGTGACCCTTCTGTACCATTCAAATAAATCAGTTGATTTAGGAAAGTAAACTTATTTGAGAAGGACATGGATCCCTACTACTTAACTTTTTTTTTTTTTTTTTTTACACATTAAATCAAACCAAAGCATGCCATCACAAACAGGCACTGAATGGAACTGATTTCTGTTCTTCACGCATTAGATAGCCTGTTCTCGCTACCCAAGAGCCTACCTAGTTTCAGGGCCAGCAACATCAGAATCATGGGGAGGTGTTAGAAATGTAGAATCTTGCGTACCATTCTTCAACTAGAATGTGTACTTCACAAGGGACTCCAGGACACGTTAGCTTTTGAGAAGCGCTGGTTTAGGAAATTATTACCTTCCCCCAAGAGGTCAGCTGGTGGAGGAGACTCGGCCCTTGCTCTGCGGAGGCTCTTGTTAGGCAAACGACTTTTGGAGCTGTGAACAGAGGAGCGGTGGGGCCACACTGCTTGTTCTCATAGTTGCCAGGAGTGTGTTAGTTTTAGTCTAGTAGCTGGGACGGGATGTGGGGGGACAGGGCCCTACACCAGAGGTCCAGGACTATGAGCAGCACTGCGCATTATTCAGACAATATGGTCCTGAGTTTGAGTCCTAGATTCACCCCTTACCAGGACCAGGAGCTCAGCAAGTGGCTTGATCTCTCTCAGCCTCATATTCTTGAATGTGAAAATAGGAAAATGATAGTGACCTTGAGATTTATTGTGAAGATTACTTGAAGAACAGTATGGTAAGTACATGATGTAAGTAGGGAAATAATACATTTTGGCTTCTTTCCCCTTTACTTCCTGCAAGTGAAAAAGGTCCTTACTTATTTTAATAGTCTCAGTTTAACATCCTGTTTCTAGGTCAGCCAGTGTGAGAGATGTGGAGGGAGGGAGGTTCGTTCTTCCCTACCTGAGGCTCTCACCCTTTGTGACTGTCATAGTCACAGAATAGACTGTCATAGTCTATTCTGCTGCTGCTGTAGCACAAATACTCCTTGCCTGCTGATTGATCACCGACTATTCTCACAGCAACCAACGAAGTGGGAATTATTACCGTTTCTGTTTTCATAGATAACAAAGAGGCACAACAAAGTTATGGAAGCTACCCAAGGTCACCTAGCTTCTGAGAGTTCACGTTAAGATTCATACCCGATGCTCTACTTCCAGAGCCCATATCATTGGAACTACGCTAGAGACGGAATCGGAAGGATTCAGTCACTTTCTTTTATTGTGGTTTCTGTTGTGATCAAGAATGGGTATTTTCAGGTGAAGAGTAAAGTCCCGAATCTGTGAAGAAACACAGAAGCACATGGATGAGAAGCCAAGCCCTAAATCCCGACCTTATTTTCCTAGGTAAGAGTCACAACCCTCCCTCTAGCAGTAACAATGTCTTTACACTGTAAAGGTAAGTCATTTCATCTTTACTAATTCTCTAGGGAAATAAGCAATTCTTGCTTTTCACGGCCTACTTTAGAGAACTCTAGATGAATAGCCAATGGCTGTGGAGGACAAAATGGGCCAACGGCCTCCCTGGCCTTCCATTGTGGTCAACAGGGGGCTGTAGTCAATGCCCATTTACCTCCACGTGGAGAGCAAAAACGAATGTGAACTCAACTTACTTTTCTAGCCTCTTCATTAACACTGTTATTATTTCTAAATTTCATTATCGTTATAAATGATTTCTAATATACTTTCAATGTCTTAAAAGTTTCAAAACTGTACTGAAGGTGATATTGTTTTAATGGAAAACTAAAAACTCTGAATGCTGTTACTGTTGTGTTACTCATTCATTCATTTAACATTCATTAATATATATTGGACATCTTCCTAGGTTCTGAGCCTTATCATAGGCACTCAGGATGAAGCACTCAACAAGACAGAGAAGATGCCCTGTTATGTGGAGCCTACCTTCCTGTCAGAGGAGACAGAACCTGTTCTCTAGAGGTAAAGCCTCTGATGTCTCATTTCCTCAGGCTTGATGACTTTTAGTTAATGATGAGAAAAAAAGACCTAGAATGTTTGGTTTCATGAAATGCACCAATATTTTTTTAGCCACATGAAAAAAAAAGATTAATAAGTCTTTACTGGATGAAAACTAACCCATTTTGGCAAGCTCATGGCTTAGCACAATCAGAGTCTGTCAGAAAACACTGAATGGTGGTAATAATTTAAGTCAACAATATAATTTGCAACTGCATGTAAGACAGATCAATCAATATCGAAATATATGACCTTGGGTTTCTAGAAACATGTCATATAATGTCCAGAAAATACAGTGTACAACATGAAAGCATCTATCTAGCAATTGGTCTATTTATTTATCTATATACATAATACCTGATAAGTTTATTATTTTTGACACAACTGAATTTTTTGCCAGGTGCTATTACTTAATAGATGAAGTGAGAATTTTGATCACCTATACTTCAGTTATGATAACTCTTTGAAGGGAAATGTGCCTTGGAATTTTCCAGGTTATTATTATTCTGTGGAAAGGTAGTATTTCACATTGCTTGAAGAAGGTGCTCATAGTTTTACTTCTCATCCAAGACCCTTACATTTTCTATTTTAAACACTTCTTTTCCTCTGTTCCTGACATTTGAATTCATCATTCACGTTTGTGACATGTTTTCATATTATCTTTTAATACCGATGTCAGTACCAAACAGTAATAAGGGTGCAAACATCTGTTGTTTACTCTGAAATGATTAGCTTCCATATATAATAATAAAAATTTACCCTATTGCAATAATGTTTAAAAAAAAAAAACCCTTGCAAACATTTTGGACTCTGGTGATACCTTTAAAAAGGCAATGAAAAACCAGCTATATAAAGTTTGCCTGCAATTTGCTTAATCCCAGTACAATCTAGAATGAGTGGGAATAAAGTTCATTCCAGATAATTCTTACATTAAGGAGAGTCTATTAAATATATGCATAGGCCCTCTTGGTGTTGAACTCACCAAGACTCAGAAACAATGCAGCAAAGTGACAAAATCATATAGACTTTTGGTGTGGAAGGCCTATCATTTTACTGTCCTTTTCTATGTTGGCTGGTTGTTTCGTTGGTGACATTTAAGGACAAGGCACATTTGGTTGATAATATGCCGACTTTAAGCTGAATAGAAACATCTGGAGGAATCACATTCCTTTCCCTGGCTAACCTTTATTCCTCCTTTGAAATTCTGCTCAGGCATCATTTTCTGTAGAAGGCCTTCCCTAAGCCCCTAGGTTAGGTGAAATGTTTCTCTTGGAAACTCACAGCACCCAGTGGAGCCCGCTAACTGAGAACTCATCATAGGGTTATATTTGAATCATCTCATATATGAGCATCTTCCCTATTAGACCGCATGCAGAGACCCAGCCTTACTCATCTTTGTATCACCGGTACCAAACACAACCATCTATTGCCTGGTCGTAGATAAGTGGTCGAAGATAGACAAAAGGACAAGAGTTTGAACATCAGGTGATGTGCAAGGCAGGCCCAGGATTAAGTGATTATCTCTGTCCTTTAAGATCCAGTCATCTAACAGTCTAGGCATAAACAGATACTACCCTGACGCTATGCATAGGCTGCAGTGGGGGACAACAGAGGAAATTAATCAGCCTGCTAGAAAGGGAATGCCAAGGAAGCCTTCAGAAGATCTAAGGTGGGCATCAGGTATGGAAAGATGAAAGGTATACTTGTTGATTGCCTTAAGAGTAAGAGAGCAAGACAATTTTATGAAACTATAAATTGTTAAATGTGTCTTGAGTTTAGGATTTTAAGAGTGGTAGATGGTGCTGGAAAAGTAGGAGTTATAACAGGATGGACATAATTTGAAATGCGAAGTATTTAGTTTTTTAAGCTGCAAAATGAGAAGCCACTGAAAGATTTTAAACAGAGGAGGAGTGTTATGGTAAGATTTAAATAGGAGAGTGGTAATCCAAGGTAGGTAGTGTGATGGAAGTTGTCTTATTGGGGGCACATTGAAGAAACAAGGAAACATTTGGGAAAGGACTAAGCTGGAACTAAGGCATGGGAGTCAGGGATAGATCAGAGGTGTACTGAATAGATAAAATCAGGGGGACTTGGTGAATTAAGGATGAGGTGTCTGCAAAGTGAATTGAATTTCTGGACTGGTTCACGGGGGTATGAAAGTGACTTTCACTGAGAAAAGCAATACATGAGGATAAGGATGTGAGCCCCATTTTGGAGAACGTGTATTTGGGGAGCCTGGTTGACAAGGAAAAGGTCCAATAGACAGGTATTTGGGTCTGGAGTTCAGGGGCTAGGTGTGTGGTAGTGATACAGATTTGGAATTTGTCATGCTGGTTGAAGCTGTGGGTGTTATAGTGGGCACAGATGCCCTGGGGTCGCTTTTGCAATTTCTGTCTTCTAGCCAGCATCCCTACACCAGCTTCCTTATGGTTTTGTATCTAGTGGCCTGAACCCATGGAGGGAGGTACTGTGGCTGCTTTGTCTGCAGGCTCAGAGAG